GCGTCATCTGGTCCAACACCATGTGAGACTAGGCTCTAAGGAAAGCTGTCTCGGGTGTGGACCAATCAACTTCAAGGACAGTGCATACATTATCAGAGTTGTGTTTTTTGTTTGCATTCCGACTGCAGGTATTGTGGTCTATGCAAACATGACTCTTTGTAAAAAAGGTGTCAGTTTTGTTGCCGGATAAAAAGGTAAAAAACCAATTATCTTAAATAGTTTTTAGTTTAATAGTTTAGTTTCTCAGCGTTCATCATGATTACCAAAGGCTTGTTAAGCCAGACTAAGGCACGTTTATGGTTCATTTGGTTCAGTGTTGATGTCTGAGGCTCGGTAAGCTAGATCAAAGAACCTTGAAGGATCCTGTAATTCGTTGATAATGTTTAAGCATCACAGAGGGCAACGTTTAAGGCAATTACTAACTGCTGTTGGGAACATTGATTTTCAATAAATGTAATGTTTAATGTTTTGAAAGGTATGGATATAGGCCATATTTTATTGATGAAATAAAATAGAGCATATGGAAATCACTAGGAGGTCTTTTTTGTGGTATTGCCGAGTTTTTTTTATTAGATTGTATCCATCTGTGTGGAGCTTTGAGCGTCATGTGACTTGTACACAATATGCTCATGAGCCTTGTAACCCAGGTGAGTACCTAAAAAGCACACGTGCAGTAAAAGGCATTTCAGTGCAGAAAAACAAACAAGACAATCATCAAACATGTATACACATGGCACGATTTAAAAGTGGAACATTCATTAAATGTACCCAGCAAGGCCTCACTGAGTCACATTTTGTTCAGGAGTGTTTTGTGATGTTTGACCAGGTCCATGCATTATTGTGTTTGGCTTCATGTGGGAGAAAACTCGAGCACCAGGATCAAACCCCCAATGAAAACAAGCGGATAGACTCTCAAAGCTCCGCACGGATGGATTCAATCTATTTCGGTCCTGCCATCTCCTGGCCAGCTTGCAATGCTTGCGTGACACGCCACTTCTGTTTCGTGGTCTCCGTGGTCCAATGACCAACCAGGCTCGTCACCGCTTAGCGTCTGAGATCAGATGAGATTGGGCACATTAAAAGGTTATGTTGATGATATTCTTAACTCTGTGGTTCTTTCGGTAAAGTCACGTAGGTATAAAATCAAATAAATTAAATCACGACGTTTCGGGCGCAACACAAGCATCTGTCATCGGGTGGGACAATCACAGCAAGAAACAATTGCTGAAGTGGGCAAAAGGGCTGCCGTGACAAGAGGCTATATAGGTAAGAGAGGGGAGAGCAGCAAGGGAGGAGAGATAGAGAGGGGGGTAGGGGGAGTGGAGCGCTGCTAGAGGGATTAGAAGACGAGCAAGGCAAAATGCCGAAAAAAACAAAGAGTATGGATCCCTGCAGTCACGAAAACTTCAAATCTAGATTGATATTCTTAAATTGAGATATACGCAAGTTAAAACAAAGTTGTTTTTTTTTTACTTTTTAAAAGTGTAAATTAAATTGTAAATGAATCGGTAGCTTTAAACTTTAACCTTATGAACTCTGAGCCTTCGTGGGATTGCAGCTTTTGAATTATGGACAAATCTTTAATTCACTTCATTACATTTGAGCATTCGAACCAAGCTCCGGGCAGGCCAGAAGCACAGGACATATTATACCCAAAGAGGTTTTGAGGATCGTTAACGTTCAACAAATTCTTCTGACCCCTCCTCACTAAAATACTGATAGAAAAATGGATAATCACTAGCCACGACCCCATCCTCATTAATCATGGGAAGAAATTAGAGTGAAGTAACCAATACTATGGAGTGGGTAACGATTCGTCCCTCTGGCGGTTTAATTAATTGTCGCGATTCATAGCCACGTAGGGTCGCTACGTTTTCCACTGCAGACCAAACCCGGACAGATGTCTCAGTCTGCACTGGGTCTATGATCGGAACATGGGGCACTCTGCTGTTATAAAGTTCAACGGAGATTCGCCGGGAACCAGATTTCGGTACAAATCAACTCCTGCCCACGTCTATCAAAACCTTGCAGCATATTGTATGTACTGTAGGTATGTATGTTGAACTTTTTTCGCACCGTATATAGTCAACCGTGGCGGATCATTGGGGTTTATTAGTAATACATTGGCATTTTGCGACCCCCACTGCCACTGTGCAGCATATTATTACGGGCCAGGGACTCTATGAGACGATAGGACAATAGTCTGAGTCCATAATTGGCAATAAGTAACGGCAAAGCAGTTATAAGTGACTCAGAATTGTGCGCAGATTGTGTTTACAGTACACGACTTCCCTGAAGGCATCAACACCTTCAGCTGAGCGCGATGCCGATCACACAACACGGTTCGAATTTGACCCTCGATCGACGGCTGCGCGAACGCCGCACACGCGTCGAATAAAAAGCAAGGGACAAGTCCTCACTTACTAACAACTCCTCTATCATTTTTCATTGCTGGAAGGGATTGCCCCCCATACCTGAAAATCCTGGCTCCGCCATTACCTCTGGCATCCAAACACAGACGCCAACTCCCGGACTGTCCGGGGGTCAAACCCAGGCCGTTCAACGAGCTGGAACCACCTGGAGTCCTTCGCCCCAGTCACAACTCGTCCTTCTACGATCAGCTCGTTACTTTGGAGAGCTTGAGCGCAATTGATTCTGATTGTGTCTCTACCATCTTCGATTCGATTTAATTGGCGCTCTGTTTCAAATGGGTATTTTTTTATTTCGATTTAAAGCTTTCGTGACTGCAGGGATTCATCTTCTTGGTCCTTTCGGTAAAGTCACGTAGAAGGGAAATAATGTATTTTATTATGGTTTATTTTTATTATTTTATTGTTTCCCTTCTACGTGACTTTACCGAAAGAACCAAGAAGATGGGTATTTTTAGTTGTGAATTGACATCGCGTGTTTTCGATTGGATTTGACGTGCGTACCCACACTGTGACATCTCCATTCAACTCCGTTGCACAATGTAATTTCCGCAAGGTGTTAGTTCGTCGCGGAGAATCGTGGAGAGGTTACGCGCGTGTAATCACATTGACGCGGAGAGAGGAACGCGCGGATTAGAGGACAGACACAAAGTCAGAGACATTGACACTGACCGGTGAAAAAAGTAAAGTGGGCTTTTGCAGGGAACATCTCTGATATGGATGGTCTACTCAGTCCGTTTTGGGTATCCTCACTCATGCAAACGGTCTCTGTGCAGTCTACTCAGTCCGTTTTGGGTATCCTCACTCATGCAAACGGTCTCTGTGCGGTCTACTCAGTCCGTTTTGGGTATCCTCACTCATGCAAACGGTCTCTGTGCAGTCTACTCAGTCCGTTTTGGGTATCCTCACTCATGCAAACGGTCTCTGTGCAGTCTACTCGGTCCGTTTTGGGTATCCTCACTCATGCAAACGGTCTCTGTGCAGTCTACTCAGTCCGTTTTGGGTATCCTCACTCATGCAAACGGTCTCTGTGCAGTCTACTCGGTCCGTTTTGGGTATCCTCACTCATGCAAACGGTCTCTGTGCAGTCTACTCAGTCCGTTTTGGGTATCCTCACTCATAGAAACGGTCTCTGTGCAGTCTACTCAGTCCGTTTTGGGTATCCTCACTCATACAAACGGTCTCTGTGCAGTCTACTCAGTCCGTTTTGGGTATCCTCACTCATGCAAACGGTCTCTGTGCAGTCTACTCAGTCCGTTTTGGGTATCCTCACTCATACAAACGGTCTCTGTGCAGTCTACTCAGTCCGTTTTGGGTATCCTCACTCATACAAACGGTCTCTGTGCAGTCTACTCAGTCCGTTTTGGGTATCCTCACTCATACAAACGGTCTCTGTGCAGTCTACTCAGTCCGTTTTGGGTATCCTCACTCATACAAACGGTCTCTGTGCAGTCTACTCAGTCCGATTTGGGTATCCTCACTCATGCAAACGGTCTCTGTGCAGTCTACTCGGTCCGTTTTGGGTATCCTCACTCATACAAACGGTCTCTGTGCAGTCTACTCGGTCCGTTTTGGGTATCCTCACTCATGCAAACGGTCTCTGTGCAGTCTACTCGGTCCGTTTTGGGTATCCTCACTCATACAAACGGTCTCTGTGCAGTCTACTCGGTCCGTTTTGGGTATCCTCACTCATGCAAACGGTCTCTGTGCAGTCTACTCAATCCGTTTTGGGTATCCTCACTCATACAAACGGTCTCTGTGTGGTCTACTCAGTCCGTTTTGGGTATCCTCACTCATGCAAACGGTCTCTGTGCAGTCTACTCAGTCCGTTTTGGGTATCCTCACTCATACAAACGGTCTCTGTGTGGTCTACTCAGTCCGTTTTGGGTATCCTCACTCATACAAACGGTCTCTGTGCAGTCTACTCAGTCCGTTTTGGGTATCCTCACTCATACAAAAGGTCTCTGTGCAGTCTACTCAGTCCGTTTTGGGTATCCTCACTCATACAAACGGTCTCTGTGCAGTCTACTCAGTCCGTTTTGGGTATCCTCACTCATACAAACGGTCTCTGTGTGGTCTACTCAATCCATTTTGGGTATCCTCACTCATACAAATGAATGGTCTCTGTGTGGTCTACTCGATCCATATTGGGTATCCTGACTCACGCAAATGGTCTCTGTGTGGTCTACTAAATCCGTTTTGGGTATCCTCACTTACGCAAAGAGTCTCTGTGTGTTCTACTCAATCCGTGTTGGGTATCCTCACTCACGCAAACGGTCGCTGCGTGGTCTACTCAATCCTTATCCGACATCCTGTATACAAAGGTAAAGGTGCAGCCCTGCAATTACTTGCTCACGCCACTGCTGGAATAATGAGCCTCCGTTAGAAGGATCTTTAGAGAGCCCCTTTCAGAGGGTGTTTGGCCTACTCTTCTACATTGACCAGGAGGAAATACTTATACTGTACTCCTGCACCAGGAGATGGAATTGAATTAAAGTGGCGACCGCTGACCGTTCGCTCTCCTGATGTCTTCTCCCCTCCGCTGCCTCCCCTTGATCATCTCACGTCCAGGCCGGGCAGACCAACCCCACCGCCCGCCTCTTCATCATCAACCTCTTCGGGCTGCCAGTGGAGCACATCGTCGAGCTGCTGCCCCCCGAGATGCTGCGCTACCGGCGAGTAAACGCACACACGGCGCCATGCGGCCACCGCCGATAGCCAGCGGCGTTCAAGGCGAGGTAGCTCTGCTGACACGAGAGAACGAGCGGCGAGGCAGGGGCAGGTGAGAGGCAGGGCAGAGGCAGGGCAGAGGAAGGGCAGAGGTGGGGCAGAGGTGGGGCAGAGGTGGGGCAGAGACAGGGCAGAGGTGGGGCAGAGGAAGGGCAGAGGAAGGGCAGAGGTGGGGCAGAGGTGGGGCAGAGACAGGGCAGAGGTGGGGCAAAGGCAGGGCAGAGGCAGGGCAGAGGTAGGGCAGACGTGGGGCAGAGACATGGCAGAGGTGGGGCAGAGGAAGGGCAGAGGAAGGGCAGAGGTGGGGCAGAGGTAGGAGAGTAGTAGTGGAGCGGTTATCGTGCCGTGCTATGACCCTGGAGACGCGGGTTCAATTCCCGCTCACGGTCAACTCCAGTGACGATTATCTGAACCGGTCCTGGCCTCCTCTCGATCGACTCAGCCTCAAATGAGTACCTGGTGCGGTGTGAAAACATCGCCACAAGGGAGACAAAGGCGGCCAGGTGTGGTGTTGGCCACCCACCCCCTTGTGTGCTGTGCCTACCCTCATAGGTGCTCACTAACAGCACTTGCCCTGAAAGTCTGTTAATGGCTATACGGGGGATCTTTGTCTTGACTTTGTTGATCACAGGGAGCACTACTTCACGATGGTGCGCTGGGTGACGGGAACCCAGGTGGCCGTCACGTGGGTCAACCGGAGGCAGAACCTATCGGTGCTCACCGTGTGCGAAGCCACCACTGGGGCATGCAGCGAGGTACACACTCGCAACAACAACAATAAGCACTTGTGCCAAGCTCGGTGCACTTTGAGGCCACAAGAAGTGAGGAAGCCTCGCTGGCAAGAGGTCACGGGACCGACCCAGGTGCCATGGGTTGACTGACTAACATAATGGGCAGATTCACCCTCTGTGCTCCTCACTGTGCCAACTTTTGCTTGCGTTTAAGCCGCCCGACGCTCTTCTCATTGTTGTGTGAGGATCGCTCCTCTGCCCTCCATTGTTGCTGGAGGTCAAATGCCTCCAACTCCCCAGGAGCGGACCTTCAAGAGCCTGCTCCACAGATGCCGATCTTGACACTCCGTCGGCAAGCCCACTCAGCTCCACGTCCTCGTGTATCGGCATCAGCCCATATCCTCTCCAGCCTGTGCCGTGCCCCATTTAGCCTCCTTTATCCGGCCAAACAGAAGCTGCTTGGGCATGCGGCGGCTGGGCATGCGTGCTACATGACTCAAGGCAACGCAGCCTCGCCTATCTCACTGACGGGACCGTGTCCAGATCAACAGTCGCTCCCCACACACACGCACACACGACCACATGGACTGTGGAACTCTCTGCCAAAGGCTGCCAGGGAGTCCGATTCAGTTGGGATCTTCAATTCTCTCCGCCTAAAGACATTTCCCTTTCAGAAGTCATTTTATGTTTTGACTCGAAACTACTTCTTACCCAACCCGTCCCCCCTCCATTGTTATGTAAAGCACCTTGAGAATGGATGTAGGGGCGGTGTATAAGCTGTAATTAGTATTATCTTAATCTTGATAATGAACAAAAGAATAGTGCGATTATTATTAAATTAGTATTATTAGCATGTTCACTCTGCCACCCCCGCATCTGCCAACCCCCCCCCCCCCACCCCCACCCTTTGTTGCCTCCGCAGAGATACCGCGAAGCGTCGGAGGCCTGGCTGCCCAGACAGGTGACGCGCGCAATCGCACACACCGCCCCCCCCCCAGAACTCGTCATGCACGGCCACACGCGGGCAGCCCACTCGCCCATTGGGCCGTTGCGACGGCTAATCTTGGGCCCGTTAGCGAGCGCCTGTTTGGGCCGCGCGAGAGGAGAGATAATGGGAGTGGCGTTTCGAGCGCGTCCCCAACCCGCGCCCACCACCACCGTTATCTCGTCGGGGTATCGATCGAGAAACGGCGCCGGGTGATGAGAGGGGGTAGGGGTGATGGCAGTGCCGGATGAAGCTAGTGCGGGGCCTGTAGCATGTGTTATAAAGGAGCCCTAAATAAATAAAAACTAAATATTAAAACATTAAATTTTTAGGTGCATAAAAAAGTCATTGTATTTTTTCATTTGCTATACAGCTAGATAATACGAAAAATCGCTAACCTTAAACACCCAGTCGTTCATAAAAGCTGAAGGCGTTATAGTACTATAGTAATAGAGCAAGTGCACAATCACTGATCCCGAATTGATAGCTTAAAAGCATTTAGTGCGGGGTCCTTGAGAGTGCGGGGCCTGTAGCTACTACACATGTAGCTACTTGTGCCACTGAGATAATCCGGCACTGGGTGAAGGGGGGGGGGGCGGCGGTCACCAACGACGGGCGTCCCGAGTGGCACCCGGAGGCGGGCGACCGATGAGAGGACGTGGAGGCGGACGGGTGTGTGTACGCTGCCAGGGGGTGGTCACTGGCAGGTGACGCGTGGGATCCGTGCGACATTGGCGGCCACGCCATCGTTGGGCGCCGGCCCTGGTGACCTCGCGGCGTTGACCGTGACCGCCGCTGGCATCGAGGAAGCGTTCCGCCGCACCGCTTGTGCCAAGCTGGGTGCGCTTTTGAGGCCAGGCGCGATGGCTTCTGTGACTTGGGCAGTTAATAGATCGGGTCGACTGGCAGAAACGCGACCTCCGATCTCCGCCATGCCAACTTTGTTCTTGCGACGTCACTCGGATTCTTGTTCATCATTGTCCCTCGGTGTCTTGCATGTGCAGCAGCAGCAGCAGCATGAGGAGACATATTGAGGGGCCCCATAACGTGTCATACCACTGGCTGGTGCTTATGCATAACGTGGGATTGCCTCGTGTCAGCGTGAGACGGCGTGTTGGGGTTGGTGTGCGTCTGTGTGTTCAAGTACTCGTGCTTAACGTACGTGTGAATGCACACACACATAATGACTTGTTGGGGAAAGTGCTGTTTGCGAGCACCTATTAAGGCCGGCATTGCCACACGATGGGGCTGGCGAGTCAGGACCATGCCTGGCCGTCTCTGTCTCAACGGTGCTGATGTTCACACACCGACAAGGAGGCACTCGTTGGGGGCCCAGGGCAACCTCCGGGAGACCAAGGAGAGGTTCCAGGCATAATTCACCACCAATGGTGCGATTGCTCGGTCACACCGCTGCTGGCAAAAGGGCTTCCTCTTGGGAGCTGTTCTAGAGAGCAGCTCTCGGCGGAATTGGGCCTACCCGTCAACACTGGCTAGACGTCTCGTAAGAGGTGCGAACGCCCACGCTTTACCCCACCACACACGAGACGCTGCCAATCGACTGGGTAGACAGAGTTAGCCAAGGTGTGGTGGGGATTCGTAGAAAACCTCTGTGCCGTCGTTTCCAACTGCCTCGCCCATCACACCAGGGCAGCGGTCCAGGCGCAACAGCGCGTAGCAGCACGTAATTAACCCGTTGGGATAGCTTCGCGAACGCATCCCCTCAATGACGTAAACAACAACCCCCGCGGCTCGGACAGCAGCAGCAGTAATACGTCTCTAAACGATGCTTTGTGTCTGGAGAGACGGCTGGCGCATTGCTGCCGCCCGCGTGCCGTGGCGTGCGTGGCTGCGTTTACACGCGACCCCGAGCGGTGACCTCCGCCGTCGGGATGCGAAGCATTTCTCCGCAGCCTCCACAGCAGGAAGGAAAAAAAAGGTTTCCAGGCGCAGCGGAGGGAGGGCACGGACGGGACGGCCCATTACAGGCAGAACTCGGAGATTGCTTTGTGGAAAATGTGACCGGCTTACGGGAGCGTGATAAAAAAAAAACACATCGATGAGCGGAGGAAATCTCATTTGAGATGAGCCCATCCCCTCCGACTGTTTACCACTTGGCCCCCCGCTTTAACCAGCGATGGGGGGGTGGGTGTGCGATCGGCCATCAGATGACGGCCCCACAACCGCGAAAGGGAGGATGATGAGAGAGAGTGAGCCGGGCACCGCAGCGGGGAAGACATGGGTGGAGGGAGAGGCCTTGCGTAGTTGGCGTTCACAGCTGCTGCTGCTGCTGCTGCAATGCCCCCTGAATCCCTTAAACCGCACTTTGAGCTTTTATTAAATGGCAACTCGATTTGTAAGGTCAGTGAGACAAGGTGGTTCGACTCGGATTACGTTCATAGGATTATTATTCTCTCTGCCGTATATGGATTGGTAGCTTCGTCCGGACGTAGAGGTTGTTGTCGTTTATTTGTTGACGTGGGTAAGTAACATTCACCCGTCAGCTGTTTTACAAGTGTGACCCGCGGAGGATATTGGGGTTACATCGTATAAATCAAAACATTGCAGACACTGAGTATTAAACGCATTCCAGGATTGCCGTTCGTAACGATAGTTTTGGGTCTCCCGACGCATTATTGGTAATGAAAGGTGGGTGGCAATAGCGAGGGTATGTAGCGGTAGCAGCCGAAACAGGCGCACGGGAACTGAAGCGACGAAAATTATCCCGAAGGGGCAGCTTGACGACATCACTCGGGGAGCGTTTGACACTATGCTTGCTCTCTCGCTCCTGGGAGACTTCAAAAGCTCGTGTCAAGATTCAGACACACTTCGTCTTCATTTCCGAGCTCGCTTTGAAAATGACGCTTCCGTTAATGCAAATTGGATATGAAATTATGCCCGGTGTAACGAATACATTGGTGGCCTTGCGTTGGAAGTCTTCTGTCGCCGACAGAGCTCAATATTTACCGTGGTAGCGTAGCACAGCGTACTGTGCCAATGGCATCATATCATCGGGGCTTAATATGCCACGCTAAATCTTTCTCGAGAACAGCATGTTCGGCTAAACGCTGGATTACATGCGATTAGGCAACTTTTGTGCCATCTCGGTATCTGACCGCAGAATGCATGTTCGGTGTTTAATTGTACTGTATGCGTAATGATAAAAAAAAATTAATACAATACCGGTGTAAAAGTTGAAAGGTTCATCTTCTTGGTTCTTTCGGTAAAGGCACGTAGAAGGGAAGTAATAAAATAATAAGAATAAAACATAATAAAATAATTCTCACGACGTTTCGGCCACAACGCAAGCAGCCGTCCTCAGGTGAAAACCAGGTCTGTCGGGGAGACAGCGTCTGACAGCTTTAAATCGAAAGTTAAAAGGTTACCACCAGGGGTTGCAAATGCTTCGAATATCCAGCACGATCAGTATTCTGCATGGGCAGTGTCCACTGTTCGAGACACATGAAATAGCGACGCCAGTGTCTACCGTGGGCACAAAGTGTGCAATAGATAGATGTATGGGGCAGTGACCTGCCCCATACATCGTGACACGCGGAATCAAACAAATCACTCGAGACGCAGTTTATGCGAATTTCGTCGCAAGAGGGTCACGCGTTTGGCGCCAAAGAGTCCTTCAACCGACTATGCGCGATGCATGAATGGCCCAGCGGTAGCGTGTTTGGCGCTTGCTGCAGAGGTTCGCGGTTGGAATCCAGTGGGCCGCGCCTGGCTATTGCTGCATTGTGTGCATTCACCATGAAATACGTATGCTTCACAGTGGGAGTTCGAGGCACCCCGCGATATCATTCGATTTTGGCCATTCTGTGCCCGGCGGCGCGGTCCACATTTTCAGAATTTGAAAAATTGCCTTCATAGTCCTCAACGAGGATTACATAGAGCAACATGCCCCCCACCCCTCCCACCTACTGAAACACAGCACCTTCGCAATAGACTTGCGCTGTAAGAATGACGCGAATACCATTGCGCAAAATTATTTGTAATTATCAATGATTATTACTGTCATACTGTTTGTTTTGAAGACGTACTTTATATTTATTTTCGCGTTCCGTAGACCTTTCACACGACGTAGATTTTTGCTCTGAGATAGTGTCCTCTGTCGAACATACTCTGGTTCCCTTCTGTAATTATTTTTCTTTTCTCAGAAACCGGCAATGTGCACGTCCTTTGGACGTGACCGTCCATCCGTCTGTCCGAGCCAGCCAGCGACAATTGTTTTCCAATATACTATGATAGCTACCACGGCCACCTTGCGTTTGCCAACTGAGAGGTAAAACAACTCCAACAAATCATTGTTATCGTTCGCCATCCCAGGTGGTACCGATGAGACATTTTTTCGGACCAATGGCTTCAGAAGAAGCTCAGTAGCACGGAGGGAGCCGGGGCCCAACAAGTTTCGTTGAAGTCATGCGGCAATAATTGGGGTTGCCAGTGAGCGTAACCCACCCACCTGCATTGTCTCGGCTGAAACAGCTGAGGTGGAAGCCACTCCGTCCCCAGGACATTAATTAACCTTTGCGAATGCGCCACCGGTGCATAAAGAGGCCACGGCGCTCGTAAGGTCCACGGACGATCCCCGCTGTTGCCGTGACGACCGTCAAAGGAGCAGGAGGACAAGACATCTGGGGCAGGTCGTGGTGGAGGAGGAAGGTGGTGGTCGGCAGGGGGAATGGGGGGTGCAAGAGTAACGTACCTACATCGCCCGAAATAAAACTTGGAAAATAATGATTTACCAATTCGTAAATACCATTCCGAAATGTGCTGGATCGAGATGGCCCGGCGGCTTCAGGGGACTTATTAAGCTGTGCCATGCTAATGAATTGGCACTCATGAGATACTGATTATCTTATAAGTGCATTTATCATGCCACTCTCATCAACTCAGAGTTTCTAAGCCCACAGGCAAACCTCGGTAATTCAAGATACGCGTCCAAATTATCTACGCCACATCGCCAAAAGTTC